GAAATAGGGGTATCTATATGGCCTCACATTGGCCGGTTTAGAATTTGGTAAGAGGGGTATCTGATGGTCATGGGCCTGGGGTGGAGGTAATTGGCTTGGTTCCTTGAACACATCAACAAACTGATCGAGTATCGATCGTAGTGCCTCGTGTTGGGCTTCCGTGGGCTGGTCACAGCCTTGATTGTTTAAAGTTGGAACTGTGGACTGCATGCCTAAGTGCATAAACAAGGGCCGTACAGTATCCTTGGAGGCCCGTAATATGGAAGTTACAGTATCACCTTGGGGACTCGGAAGTCGCACCCCTTGGAGATGGCAAGTTTGACCATCTTGATAAAAGTCCATTGTCATTTTGGCCCAATCACACAGTGCCGGCCCTAGGCCACGTAACCAATGAATTCCCAGAATAATATCAGCCCCTGAGAAATCCAATGGGTGGAGATCCACCACGAAATAGTGGCCTTGTATAAGGATCCTTTCCTTCTTGCACACACCATCACATGTCAACTGACTTCCATTAGCCACATAGATTGAAAAGAGTGGAGTGGGTTGTATAGACATACCTAGTTGCCTTGCTAATCGAYAAGTGATGAAATTCAGGGTTGAGCCACTGTGAATCAAGATCATCACAGATCGGCCCACCAACCTTCCTTCTACTCGCATGGATTGAAGAGGGTTGAGGCCCATGAGGGCGTGTAAGGAGATCTCGGCTCCCCYCGGTTCTGGTTCAACTGAGATCAGTTCACAGTCTTCTATGTTTTCTTCCGTTCTTCCTCTGTCTGAAGGAGAAACACTCGCTGGACYCGGCACTTATGGCCTGGTCCAAACTTGTCATCACAATTGTAGTAGAGGCCCTTCTCGTGTCGGGCCTGCATCTCAGCCCATGAGAGGCGCTTGAAGGGTACAGTGGGCCTGGACAGATTGGGCTTCTGAGAATCCCCAATTTGTTTCATGGGTTGCTGTTCGGTCCGCTGAGGAGCCCTCACATTCGGGTAGGAAGGCTTGCTGGTTCTGCGCATGCTATCCATCTTCTCTTCTTGCAGGCGAGCCATACCCACTGCCGCCATGATTGTCGTTGGTCGAAGAGCTCTCACTTCCAGGCGGATGTCTTCTCTGAGGCCTCCCACGAAACACCCTACCAAAGCCTTCTCCGGCCATCC